AAACATCTGGTACAAACTGTTTGAAACAGTCCTCGCTGGGCCTTGTATTTTTAGGAGCCAAAGCAAGCAGCTGGATCATCATGTGCTTTCCTGAATGTGTCAGAGGAGTGTTTAAAACAGCTGGTGCTAGAGTAAGAACAGGCATCTGGCTGTTTGACTGACAGTCCTTTTGCTCAAGGAAGATGGAGCAGCAAGGGAGACTACAGTAGCTCAACAGTAGTGAGTTAACACAACCCGTCCTCCCCCAGTATTTTCTTACTTACAAGAAAATGAACTTCAGATGGAGTGGTTATGAGGAGAATGTAAAGAACTTACCAGCCCTAATAATGATTTTAACAGTTTTTTAAAAGTACTTTGACAATGCGCCTGCTCAGTGCCCCAGGGCAGGTAAATCTTGGAGTCTCATTGAATGTGAGATTAAGGAAGAGAAATTAAGGACCTCATATAATTACAGATTTCTTGTTAAGGGATCTTAGTAAATTGTGATACTACTCTGTAAGAATAAGGAACTTAGGAGGCTAGGGAGATGGTTCAGTAGTTCAAGTGCTCGCAAGCATAAGGACAGCAGTTTGAATTCCCAGAACACACATAAATGCCAGGTGGGTATGGTAGTCCACTTATAATTCCAGACTGGGAAGATAGACACAGAGGATCCTCGTAGAAAGCTGACAAGTAAGACTAATCATATCAACAGATTCTGGGATTCATTGAGAGAAAGGTGGAAGAGCGATCAGGGATGATTCTTGACATTAACCTAAGGGCCTCATAACATTGCATATGTGTACCCACACATGCAAATATTACTCTTGTATATACACTATACACATGAAAGCTTGCAAAGATGGACAAAGGAAAAAATTGGAGGATTTAAATAGGAGAAGAAATTTTAGGAACTAAGGTAATGTTTCATCTTGAATCTGTTGGGCCAACCAGTTTGAACATGAGGGCTGGAAATGAAGATCTGGAGTTGATACAGAGGGTTTTATGAGATTTTCCTTTATTTCTGCTTAGCATCATTATGATATTATAGTATTGATTAGCAGTAAAACACCTTTTCCACCTGACTAAAAGATGACGTTTGTATGGTTAAATGCACAAAATACGCAGCTTAGTGCTTTTTGTTTGTTTTTTTTGAGATAAGGTCTTGCAGTATAGCCATGGCTGACTTGGAATTCATTGTGTAGTCAAACTAGCCTTGAACTTGGAGTGGCACTCTGCATTTGTATCATGATAACACATGAGCCACCATACCTGGCTAGTGATTTGTAAAAGCATTTGAGTTTATTTTGTTTTTTATGTAGTGTGTGGTGTGGTTATATGCATATCACAGTGTGAAAATCAGAGGACAACTTGCTGAAGTCAGTTGATCAAACTCATATTGTCAGGCTTGGTGGCATGTACCTGACCCTGAGAACCCCATAATACTTGTCTGTCTTCCACATTACTAGGTCCCATAAGAAATGAATTTTATTTTTCTAAATTGGGAGTGACCATCTCTGTTTGTTTTTAAAGATTTATTTTTATTTTGTATATGACTGTTTTGCCTCAATGTCTGTCTACATGTATACCGTGTGAGTTCCTTGTGCTTGCAGAGGCCAGAAAAGTGTATCAGATACTCTAGAATAGTTGTGAGCTATCATATAGGTACTTGGGAACAAAGCCAGATCCTCTATGGAAACAGTAAGAGCTCTTAACTACTGAGCCATCACCCCATTCCTTAGTTTTGTTTTTGTTTCTGTTGTTTTTAAATTATGCCTTTGAGAGGTAGTTTTCACAGGACTGATAAGCTCATTAATAGAGGTATCTCTATCTCTGTTACTTTCTTTGTTGAGCAGTAAACATCTGGAGCAGTAAAGATGCCTGCTACAGATGTTTACTGGAAGTAAAAATTCTTTTTAAATGTATATAAACTATATGTTAAGTATATATAAACATATACAGTTAAAAGAATAATGATGAATAGCCTGCCCTCCCCCAAGTAGCATAGTTCTGACTGACCTCAAACTCAGAATTGCTTGACTGATTCCTGAGTGCTAGGATTAAACCAAGAAATAGAAGATAATCATACCCTAGACAGCTCATGTGTCCTCCCTGAATGAATCCTCTCCTTGATCATACTTTCTCCCTTGCTCAAATAGCCACTACCCTAGATTTCATATTAATCTTTATTAATAGTCAATGCTTTATGTAGATATAGCTACATTCATACAGGTTGAATTTCCTTTTATCTTTAAATGATCAGGTCCAGAAGTATTTCAGATTTTGAACTTTTGGGTTTTGAGATATGCGTATAGCATTTACAGATCATCCATCCCAATCTAGAAATTCGAACCACTTTCAGCACTGAAACTTCAAGCTTCAGCAAAATAAAATCTTCAGATTGGGAGTGCTCAAACTTTCAGTGACTAAAACTGTATATAACAGTACTGGAGAAATGTCTTAGAGGTTATACTCACTGACTACTCTTCCAGAGAACCCAGGTTTGATTCCAAACACACACATGACAACTTACAACCATCTGTAACTCCAGTTCCAGGGAATTCAATGCCTCTAGCCTCCATGAGCACCAGGCACATATGAGGTGCACAGACATAATGTAGGCACAGCACCCATATACATAAAATGTAAATAAATCTTTGAATAAATAGTTTTAAATAGGCTGAGGAAGTAGGTTTATGGGTTTGAAGCCAGTCTGGGCTATATATAACAAGAGTTTGTATATACATATGTGTTTGTACATAGTAAATAGTCATATCATATTTGTTTATAGACCATTCTCCCTGTATGAGTTCCTCATTCAAAACACTCAGCCACTTACAGTCAAAAAAATTCTTGGGGTCAGGGGCAATAGGTAGGAACGCCAGCTCAGTGATAGAATTCTTGCCTACCATACATGAGGCGCTGGGTTCTACTCTCTGTACTAACTAACATTCATAGAAAAGATCATACTTACACTGAGATGTACAGCTGTTTTTGTTGTTTTGTAAACAGTGACTATGACACCTCTTCACAGCATTCATTTTGTATCAGGTGCTAAAAGAAATCTAGAACTGGGCATCATGTTCTCCCAGCATTTGAGATGGAGGCAGGAGAATTAGAAGTTCAAGGCTAGCCTCAGGTCCATAGCATGTTCAATTATAGCCAGGACTACGTGAGATCCTATTCTAAACAAAAAGAACAAAAATATCTTGGTCTGATGAGAAGACACAGTGGGTAAAAACTCTTGCTGCCAAGCCTGAGTCCATTCCCCAGGGCCCACATGGTAGAAGGAGATAACCAACTCCTACAGTTTGTCCTCTGACTTTCCCATGTGTATGTACATACACAATACACAAACAAATAATAAAATTTTAAAATAAAAAATCTTTCTGGAGTCAGGCATTGGTGGTGCATGCCTTTAGTCCCAGTACTCAGGAGGCAGAGGCAGATGGATGGATCTCTGTGAGTTTGAGGCCAATACAGAGAAACCCTGTCTCAAAAGAAAAAAAAACTTTTTGGACCAAATGGTATATATATATTGTGTTATCTTAGCATAGGTTGTATTCAAATTCTGTACCACTTTGCACTGAGCCCCCTTGAATTTTGGAATCCTTGATAATCCTGGAACCAGTCCTCCAAGGGATAAAGGTACTCTTATGATTTGCTTCTCTCAACAAAGGTTAGATTTTTGTAGCTTAGCTGGGTTGAATATGTAGCTAAAAATGTCATAACCTATTTTATTGTCAGTGAATATTTATTGTTGCATTTTCTTCTGTTAAAAATGTTACACCTAGCTGGGTGTTGGTGGTGCATGCCTTTAATTCTAGCACTCAGGAGGTAGTGGCAGGTGGATCTCTGTGAGTTCAAGTCCACCCTGGTCTCCAGAGCAAGTTCCAGGACAGCCTCCAAAGCAATACAGAGAAACCCTGTCTCAAAAAAGCCAAAAAAAAACAAAAAAACAAAAACAAAAACAAAATGTTACTGCCTGCTGGGCATGCCTTTAATTCTAGCATTTGGGAGGCAGAGGCATGTGGTCCTTTGTGAGTTCAAGGCCAGCCTGTTCTACATAGAGAAAACCCTGTCAGAGAGAGACTGAGGGGTGGGGGGCAGAGAATATAATATCAAATAAATACTTGTGTATATGTATAAAAGATCCTTTAGAGCACATATCTAGACATGTATTTGAAGTTTGTATGATGAGTGTGTAGTTAAATGTACCAAATAAGGGCAAACTTTCTCAAAGTGGTTGTACCAGTTTTCCCTCCCACTAGGAGTGCAGAGTTGCCATGCTCCTCACCTCTGCTAACACTCCGTGCTGCTGGGCTTTGTCATTTTACCCAATCTGTCAGTTGTGAAATGGTATCTCTTTGTGGTTTTTCATGTTTTCAGGGACCATTTGTTGTAATCCAGGCAGACCTGGCCCTTCCTCTCACCCATCTGCACATGGCAGGTGTGTATACCCTGGCTCTTTAAAAGAAAGACTCCACCTACTTCCATTCTCTCTTTCCCTGAAGAGGCAGACAGGACTTTTCCTTTCTCCCTCGTCTCTTCTCTGTCTCTGTGTCCCTTTACCTCTTTTCTCTTTCCTTCCCCCCTCCCTTCCCTTTCTAATAAAACTTCTCACTTTAGCTCTGTCTGGCATATTTGTCCCTCACCTGCCTTGGAATCCATCATAGTCCCCCACGTGCTTTATTATAAAACCATTTATGTGTTCTCTTCTGTGAAATTCCCACCCAGTCGTTTGGGCTGATATTTTCTCATTGACTCTTAGTCTTTTATGTTCCTTTGTCACAGTTGCGTGAGTTACTGATCAACCCTCTTCCTTTTTCATCTGCAAATCTATTCACCCAAGGAGAAGCACTGTGAGCACACCTGGACAATGAAAGTCTTAGGCCCTCACTTCTGTTCTAGACCACTGTAGTGACATGGCCCTGTGGGTGTGCACAGAGCTGAGCCTGGCGCTGGGAATAAGTCCCATCACAGTACTGACTGCTGCTGACCCATGGTGCTTGCCTTTGCAGGTGGAACAGGAGGATTTTGTAATGGAAGGGCATGGCAAGACTCCACCTCCTGGAGAAGAAAGCAAACAGTGAGTCACCGTTTATTAAAAGGGTCCTATTACAGATCCTCAGAAGAACTTGGTTCAGTGTTCGGAGAGCAAGTTTGCTGGGCTGTGTATACGTCGGAGATAACAGTAGTGCATACCAGTTGCTTTGTTGATACCTTCCTTCTATTTATATGCTAACTAGAGGGACAAGAAAGTTGGCTTTGTTGTTTTTCACACTTGGCTAATCAAAATTTATGTTATGCTTAAGCAAAGGCTTTAAGGCTCAGGATGTTCTAAATTGAACTAATTAAGTTTGGGTGTTTTCCAAAGTATGAAATGGTGCTTTCTTAGCAATGTCTTCCTGAAGGAGGCTCAATTACTAGGTTGTCTGCACACGCCAAGTGTGTACATAGTACCTCTGAAATTCAATTCCAGTGATAATTGAAACTTCTGACCATTATTTAAGTATCAAAGTTTTTATCTGATGAAACAAGGCCTTAAATACCATAACTTACCCAACATTATCGGGATTTCAGGATTTATCTCCTCCAACTTCTGCAAAGGTAGCTGGTTTTAAACTTCAATTTGGCACGTTTGTTGTGGCTTTTTAGTGGTGGTGAATAGATTTTATTTTCCCTCATCTATCATAGGATTTAGAAAATTGTGTTTCAAAGCAGACTGGTTTTTCATATGCCCTTTTAAAGAAAAAACACTTAAGATGGGCTTAAAGCACTGACATAACTCCAAGTTTTATTTAGACAGTAGTTTCCTAAATTGAATGGGATGGTGATTCATAGGATTTACCAAAAATCTGTAAATAAAAACTCCTCTTCTTTGTCTTTCTCCCTCTTTTTTTTCCTAGAAAATAGTTTATTTTGGTGTATCTTAAGAAAATGATGTTTCCTAAACCCTTAGGAATGAATTATGCAGAATAGACTGTGCTGCCAGGAGGCCAGACTCATTAAAGGAGAGTGCCTTGTCTTGTGCTTGTTGTGAATGGAAACTAGTAGATCTTCACAGCCCTTTAATTTGCTAAGCTGGCAGTTTTAAAAATAGCTCATAGTATAAATCCTAATTTTGCTCTGATCTGTCTAATACACTTTCATTTTAGATGGGTTGATGGTATCCATCCCTCTTTAGGGAATTAGAATGCTAAACATCTATTTGGTCTCAGTGAGAGGCAGGAGAAGTACTTCCAGTGATTTTCTCCATGGCTCCCACCCACTCTCCTAACCCACAATCTTGTCCTATAAAAATCACAATTTTGCAGCCGGGGCTTTAGTGGTACACGCCTTTCCTCCAAGCACTGGGAGGCAGAGGCAGGCAGATCTCTGTGAGTTCAAGACCAGCCTGGTCTACAAGAGCTACTTCCAGGACAGGCTACGCAGGGAAACCCTGTCTTGAAAAACAAAACAAACAAACAAAAATATCACAATTTCATTTGTCAAGGGCTTTCGGTATTCAAGGTAGGTACATGCCATTACTGCTTTTTTTTTTTTAAAGGTCTGTTTATTTTTACTTTATGTGTATGGGTGTTTTGTCTGCATGTATGTCCATGCACCACATGCATGCCTGATTCCCATGACCACCAGAAGAAGTCATCAGATCCTTTGGAACTGAAGTTACAGATGGTTGGGAACTGCTTTGGGAATGCTGGAAATCAATCCTTGGTCCTCTGGAAGAGCAATCGACTTTTTACCATGGAGCCATCTCTTCAGCCCCAGTGCTTAGAGATCAGCCATGTCAGTAGAACTCAGAGTTTAATATTTGATCCCAAATCTTGCTGATTTAAAGTGCTTATAGTATTATTCTGTCCATTCTTTTGCTATCTCTGAGCAGTGCTCCTGAAAGGGAGTATGGTTTACACAGAGACAGAAGTCAAGGTCAAAGTCTCAAGAGTAATAGGAAGTTGGGGAAAACAATGAAAGGGCTTTAAGAATATTTCCTAGACACCAATGAAAGTTCTGCTCTTTAGAGGGCACCCATTTCCTAAACAAACCTGTTTTTATCTTCAGAGGTCTTCTCTGGTAATACCTGCGATGAGTTGGCTTCTTCTAGAGCTCAGAAATCCAGTGGTAGGGGCAGATTCTACACGTTGTGTGTTCTGCTTTTAGATAGTTTCATAAATTTGAATGTCTTGTGTGATATCCTTACTGTTCTCTAGAAGCCCCCTAAACCTGAGGTTTTGTTGTGGTGGATTGGTTTGGCCCTAAGGATGGAATTGAGGGTCTTACAAATAGTCCCATCCTTCATTTGTTTGTTTTTGTTCATCCATTCATTAGTTGATTCATTTATTCTGGGTCTGTTCTATTACCCTATATTGAAGTAATTAAGCAAAGACGTATCTTCTCTTCCTGAATATCTGTTTACCCTTTGTGAGAGTCAGGAACAAATAAAGTTTTCATTCGTTTGTTTGTTTTGTGACTTCTATGTCATATCTCCTCCCACACCCCCATGGTACTGGTGATTGGACCCTGGCAAATGCTTTGCCGCTATAGTCTATATTCAGCTCCTAGACAGACTCTAACTTAACATTTTTCCAGATTTGTTTGGAATTTGCTCCCAAATTGCTCATTTATTGGTAAATAAATACCCTGCTACTTACGGAAGGAGAGTAGATGAAGCACAAGGGTTATAAACTTAAGATCACTGAGAAAATTCTTGTAAGAATTAAGACTAGGGCTGGAGAGACGGCTCAGAGGTTAAGAGCACTGGCTGCTCTTCCAGAGGTCCTGAGTTCAGTTCCCGGCAACCACATGGTGGCTCACAACCATCCCTAATGAGATCTGGCTCCCTCTTCTAGCCTGAAGGATACAGGGCAGACAGAACAATGTGCATATAATAAATAAATAAATCTAAAAAAAGAATCCGTCAAAAAAAAAAAAGAATTAAGACCAAACTTATTTTGTTTAGCTGGTCTATTCTTTCTTTGTTTCCCATTTAATTTATTGATCACAACAATTACTCAACACAGCATTATATTCTATTTTATTAACAGGAAGACTTAGGTTTCTGTACACTTTGTTAAGAATAATGGACTCTGGTACTGGGATTGTAGTTTAGTGGTAGGTTTTTGCCTATTGTGTGTAAGGCCCTGGGTTTGAGTTCCCCAGGGCTGCAAGAATGAAAAAAATGGACTTTGAGTGTGATGACTCATGCCTATAATCCCAACACTTAAGAGATGGAGGCAGGAGAACCATTCAAGGTTACCTTCAGCTACATAGTAAGGTCTATTCAAGCCTGTGTTACTTGAAATCTTGTCTCAAAACAACAACAAAAACACCCCAAACACCGCAAACAAAGAAAAAAAGAGACTTCTGATATTGAGAAATTACTATGCTAAACGACTATTAGCTTATTATTAAATATTTATAAATTATTATTTTATTATTGTGTATTTATAAGCATATAAATATTTAGAATGGACACTTATATTAATTCTGATACTGCTTTTTAAAAATTTGTTTGACTTTTAATTATATATGTGTCTGCATGTTTGTATGCCACATGTCTGTGAATATCTAGAGGCCAGAAGAGAACATCAGATTCCCTGGAGCCAGAGTTAGAGATGGTTATGAGCTACCTGATGTAGGTGCTGGGAATCAAGCTCAAGTATTCTAACCACTGTGCCATCTCTCCATCCATTTCCAGTGGAGTTTTGTTATTAGTATGCCTAGTATAATTGTTTTTTGAGGATATCTACGTTAAGAGAGTTTCTATAGCTAATCAGATAAACTAAGTTTATTGCCTTATTTACTACATTTACATCACACAACTTTAATTGCATGATGTGTTTAATGGGTGAGTAAAAGCCATGGGGGCTGGAGAGATGGCTCAGTGGCTAAGAGCATTGGCTGCTTTCAGAGGTCCTGAGTTCAATTCCCAGCAATGACATGGAGGCTCACAACCATCTATAATGGGATCTGATGCCCTCTTCTGGCATAAAGTTGTACATGTGTATAGAGCAGGCATATACATAAATTAAAAAATAATAAAAGAGGTTTTCTTTTGTTTGTTTTGTTTTTTGAGACAGGATTTTTCTGTGTAGTCCTGGCTGTCCTGAAACTCACTCTGTAGACCAGGCTGGCCTCAAACTCAGGATCCCCTGTCTCTGCTGGGATCGGAAGTATGCACCACCATGCCCTGCGTGATAACTTTAAAACACAGCGTAAGCAGATTGTTCAGATATTGTGATGTATCGTGTGTAGTAGTTACTTTTCCTACTGCTGTGATGAAGTGCCTGGCAAAAGCAACTTAAGGATGTTAGGATTTACTTAAGCTCATAGTTTGAGGGACTCCATCATGGTGTGTGGTGGGAGAGTGTGAGGCAGCTGGTCACATTGTGTCACATTCAGTAAGCAGAAAGATGAATGCCAGTACTCACGTTGTGACTCGTTTTCATTTTTATTTAGTGTAAGAGCCTAGCCCATGGGATAACACTACCCACATTCAGCGTGGGTTTTCCCTCAGTTAAACATCTCTGGAAACACCTTAACTACTCTCAGAAATGTGTCTCCTAGGTAATGATAAATCCAGTCAAGCTGATGAAGCTTCAGTATTCCATGCTTTTGGAGAGCTCAGTCTCAATCATGGAAAGGGAGAAAAAGATTCTTTTTGCTGTGGTGTTCCTTGTTTTATATCTGGCCACTCTATTTCACACTGTGTCTTTTTTATTTCTTTTGATTGTTTCTTTTTTTTAACCTACAGTACTAGGGATGACCCTAGGGCCTCACACAAGCTAGCCATGCACTCTGTCACCAAACCTGTTTGTGCAGTGGTCTTCTTACTTTTTAAATATTGACACTCACTAAATTGCATGAGCCTATCTTTGAGCCTATCTTGAACTTACTGTGTGGCCTAGGATGGCCTTGAATTTGTGATCCTCCTGCTTTAGGCTCTGGAGTAGCTCCAGTCGAAGGTCTGTGTAGACCCTGCAACACTGCTTTTTAGAATTACTGTTTTGATGGTTGTTTAAAAACCTTGAACATCTCTGTGGCATCTCCTATATTCAGAAACAATGAAAATATTCTCAAATCACAAAA